AGTAAACTAGTGGAAAAATTATGTTGTTTCCGTATTTTGGAGACATTGCTACTAGCAGTTGACCCATAATGGTAAAGACTAACTAACGTGACCTTTGAACTTCTCTGACGTCAGAGGGAGACGCAAGACTTCCCACTACCATCCCACAGGGAGACTTCCCGATTTAGATTTAGGTTAGATTTCAACAATGTGCATACCCTTATGAGACAGTGGCTACTAACCAGTAATTATTATGCATTTCAATCGCAACATTTGGCTGACTAAAATACAGCTTTAGAATACCAACCTAGAGGATACAGATTTCAGAACACATTATTGCACCCGTTTTTTTCTACACTGATTATCCCAGGCTATCGCATGTGACGCTTGCTTTTCCATGTGTTCTAGTTACAAATCAACAGATAGTAGTGGGTGATCCCACTCTTTCCTCAACTAGGAAGAGATAGGACTAGGGAGGGAGTCTCCTGTTTACCTCAGCTTTCCATGACAACGAAGTGCTGCTAATCAGAGCGCTCAAGGGTAACGACCTGAGCAAGGCCCTGCGCAGAATCACTTGATTGTGATTCAAACAGCTACTCAACTTTCTCAGGCCATTCCTCCCAAACGATTACTCAGCTTTCTCAGGCCACTCCTCTCAAACTGATTGCCTCGCTTGTCATTGTCAAGCCAAATGAGTGACAAAGGAGCTGGCGTAATTGCACAAACCTGACTGGATCTCAGCATAATCACAACCGTCCTCTAGCCTACAACAATAAGAACATCCACAGAACAAAACAGACCTCTTTTATCCACAAATACAGTATGAATCAAAAATCACTTTGAGAACATATATCCTTTTGCTATATTAAAAGACGGAACAAATGTACAATAGCTGGATTTTCAGGCCCAGATGTCTCCTTATAGAACGTCTCATCTTTACAATCAAGTGCCACATCAGATAACAGCAGCACAACATGTTTTCATGAAGTACAAAACTACAAAAACACTTTCATTTACAACGTTTTACATTTTTAACACAGATCAGTTCTGGGCCCGTATACTCCAAAGCGCCTCAGGGTAGGAGTTCAGATCTAGGATCAATTTAGCCTTTTAGATCACAGTCAGTAAGATGATATCAAATCAGTCCTCCTAACCTGAGATCCTGCACCCAAACGAGGGCACTACGTTCATCCACCTCTGGCCTGCTAGCCCCCCTACCTCTACGGAAGCACAGTTCACCGCTCAGCCCAGTCAAAGTTATTCGCTGCTCTGGCACCCCAATGGTGGAACAAGCTCCCCCACGACGCCAGGACAGCGGAGTCACTGACCACCTTCCGGAGACACTTGAAACCCTACCTCTTTAAGGAATACCTGGAATAGTATAACAGTAATTCTTCTTCCACCACCCCCCATAAATAAATAAAAATCATTTAAAAAAAGTGGTTGTCCCACTGGCTATCATAAGGTGAATGCACCAATCTGTAAGTCGCTCTGGATAAGAGTGTCTGCTAAATGACGTAAATGTAAATGTAAATAAGAGCGTCTGCTAAATGACGTAAATGTAAATGTAAATAAGAGTGTCTGCTAAATGACGTAAATGTAAATGTAAATAAGAGCGTCTGCTAAATGACGTAAATGTAAATGTAAATAAGAGCGTCTGCTAAATGCCGTAAATGTAAATGTAAATAAGAGCGTCTGCTAAATGACTAAAATGTAAATGTAAATAAGAGCGTCTGCTAAATGACGTAAATGTAAATGTAAATAAGAGCGTCTGCTAAATGACGTAAATGTAAATGTAAATAAGAGTGTCTGCTAAATGACGTAAATGTAAATGTAAATAAGAGCGTCTGCTAAATGACTAAAATGTAAATGTAAATAAGAGCGTCTGCTAAATGACGTAAATGTAAATGTAAATAAGAGCGTATGCTAAATGACTAAAATGTAAATGTAAATAAGAGCGTCTGCTAAATGACGTAAATGTAAATGTAAATAAGAGCGTCTGCTAAATGACTAAAATGTAAATGTAAATAAGAGCGTCTGCTAAATGACTAAAATGTAAATCTAAATAAGAGCGTCGGCTAAATGATGTAAATGTAAATACACCCCTGTTATTCTAGCTACACAAGACCTCTTTCAAATACTGCACCTTTTTAAACCAAACGCATAATGTCTTGTATTCAGTTACACCATGATACAATACCCACTATGCTCGTCAGCCACTTCAAAACATCTGTGTAAAACCCTCTATTATACACAGACTGTCTCAATATCAAATCCATATCTGAAGACAATTAACACTTTGTGATGGAAGTATTTTAGGCGGATTCCAGATATCATTTAAGTCCTGGTTTGCACGTAAGTCTCAGTCTCTGGCCATTGAGGTTGACATATTTTACTTTATTAGGAATAACATTTTTTTAAACAAAAAATTGCATTTGACACTGCATAATTTAGCCCACAGTTAAGACATTATGAACTGCTTAAATAAGAACCAAAAGTTCTAAACAAATATTGCATATTGACTGACTGGTTTAAACAAGTAATACAATAAACGATACTGTTTAGCGTAACCTACGTTGGGGGTCTTCAGCCAGATCAGACTGTTTAGCGTAACCTACGTTGGGGGTCTTCAGCCAGATCAGACTGTTTACCGTAACCTACGTTGGGGGTCTTCAGCCAGATCAGACTGTTTACCGTAACCTACGTTGGGGGTCTTCAGCCAGATCAGACTGTTTACCGTAACCTACGTTGGGGGTCTTCAGCCAGATCAGACTGTTTAGCGTAACCTACGTTGGGGGTCTTCAGCCAGATCAGACTGTTTACCGTAACCTCAGACTGTTTACCGTAACCTACGTTGGGGGTCTTCAGCCATATCAGACTGTTTACCGTAACCTACGTTGGGGGTCTTCAGCCAGATCAGACTGTTTACCGTAACCTACGTTGGGGGTCTTCAGCCAGATCAGACTGTTTAACCGTAACCTACGTTGGGGGTCTTCAGCCATATCAGACTGTTTACCGTAACCTACGTTGGGGTCTTCAGCCATATCAGACTGTTTACCGTAACCTACGTTGGGGGTCTTCAGCCAGATCAGACTGTTTACCGTAACCTACGTTGGGGGTCTTCAGCCATATCAGACTGTTTACCGTAACCTCAGACTGTTTACCGTAACCTACGTTGGGGGTCTTCAGCCAGATCAGACTGTTTACCGTAACCTCAACTGTTTACCGTAACCTACGTTGGGGGTCTTCAGCCATATCAGACTGTTTACCGAAACCACGTTGGGGGTCTTCAGCCAGATCAGACTGTTTACCGTAACCTACGTTGGGGGTCTTCAGCCAGATCAGACTGTTTACCGTAACCTACGTTGGGGGTCTTCAGCCATATCAGACTGTTTACCGTAACCTACGTTGGGGGTCTTCAGCCATATCAGACTGTTTACCGTAACCTACTTTGGGGGTCTTCAGCCATATCAGACTGTTTACCGTAACCTACTTTGGGGGTCTTCAGCCATATCAGACTGTTTACCGTAACCTACGTTGGGGGTCTTCAGCCATATCAGACTGTTTACCGTACCTACGTTGGGGGTCTTCAGCCATATCAGACTGTTTACCGTAACCTACTTGGGGGTCTTCAGCCATATCAGACTGTTTACCGTAACCTACGTTGGGGGTCTTCAGCCAGATCAGACTGTTTACCGTAACCTACGTTGGGGGTCTTCAGCCAGATCAGACTGTTTACCGTAACCTACGTTGGGGGTCTTCAGCCATATCAGACTGTTTACCGTAACCTACGTTGGGGGTCTTCAGCCAGATCAGACTGTTTAGCGTAACCTACGTTGGGGGTCTTCAGCCAGATCAGACCCTCCTGGAGGCTAGTCAGTCTGCTGTACACATCATGTTCCAGGTTCGACTAAGGGTCAGAGCTTAGCGGTCAAGGCCAAAACTTGGGCCTGACCCTCACTACTTGGGCCTGACCCTCACTACTTGGGCCTGACCCTCACTACTTGGGCCTGACCCTCACTACTTGGGCCTGACCCTCACTACTTGGGCCTGACCCTCACTACTTGGGCCTAACCCTCACTACTTGGGCCTGACCCTCACTACTTGGGCCTGACCCTCACTACTTGGGCCTGACCCTCACTACTTGGGCCTAACCCTCACTACTTGGGCCTAACCCTTCGACATTTGTAGATCTGAAGGGTCTGGATAGGTTTAAGCAGTGTACTGTTGAGCTTCCACCATATTGATTACAGCTTACAGATCTGCAAACATTAAAGGGAAAGGGTGGACATTGGGTGGACATTGGGTGGACATTGGGTGGACACTGGGTGGACATTGGGGCCAAGCAGCACTCTACTCACCACCTGCATGAGCTGGGCAGCCCACAGGTGAAGCTTCCAGCCCTGGGCTCCACACACGACCCCTCAACGACCCCTCTCTGGTTAGCCCCGTCCTGCAACGACCCCTCTCTGGTTAGCCCCGTCCTGCAACGACCCCTCTCTGGTTAGCCCCGTCCTGCAACGACCCCTCTCTGGTTAGCCCCGTCCTGCAACGACCCCTCTCTGGTTAGCCCCGTCCTGCAACGACCCCTTATCCTCTGGAAGACACAACAAGATGTTGTACCTTATTATTAGAATGGAATATTATTATTATTATTATTATTTATTATTAGACGTTATAAAAGCTTAGAACAAATTCTCCTCCTCTGGAACAGACACAAAGCAAGTTTCACAAGTGAATGAAGGAACTTCCAGTAACATGTATAGAGGGACAGAACATATTATCAGCCCTATTGAAAGACATTAAGGTTAATCCGTGCTCATACAGGGTTATAACAAATTACAAAACATTACACATGCAGGTTTTAGGTACGCTGTTACCAAACTGATTTATCAAATGACCGTTGTTTGTTGTAAAATGCACCATGTAGGTTCCTCAGGTCTGGTTCAGGTCTGGTTAATAATAGGATGAATAAATGAGCACGTTGTTTTGTTAACTGTTCTGATTGGACCATACTGACCTTTGACTTTGATGTCGCTGTACCTCTGGGAGTGGTGATAGGCTGCCTTCCAGGGGTTCCTATAGTGACGCAGCAGAGTGACAGGGGGGCGTGGTCTCACGGGGACATAACCCATCCCCTTCCTCATCTGAGAGAGGGCGACAACGTATTGCAAGGAGACTCCATATAAGGCATTTTATCAGAAAGCAGAACCCCAGTAATGTGGGTGGTCAAGACAGACCAGACCCACCACCGAAAGAATACAGTGTCTCCTTGCCTCAATCCCCAAACGCATTGGAGGAGAAGGTCAGAAGAGGAGAAGGTCAGAAGAGGAGGTGGTCAGAAGAGGAGAAGGTCAGAAGAGGAGAAGGTCAGAAGAGGAGAAGGTCAAAAGAGGAAGTGGACAAAGAGTAGAAGGTCAAATGAGGAGAAGGTCAGAAGAGGAGGTGGTCAAACGAGGAGAAGGTCAAAAGATGAGGTGGTCAAAGAGGAGAAGGTCAGAAGAGGGGGTGGTCAAACGAGGAGAATGTCAAAAGATGAGAAGGTCAAAGGAGGAGAAGGTCAGAAGAGGAGGTGGTCAAACGAGGAGAAGGTCAAAAGAGGAGGTTGTCAAATGAGGAGAAGGTCAAACGAGGAGAAGGTCGAAATAGGAGGTGGTCAAATATGAGAAGGTCAAATGATGAGAAAGTCAAAGGAGGAGAAGGTCAAAATATGAGAAGGCCAACAGATGAGAAGGTCAGCAGAGGAGAAGGTCAAATGAGGAGGTCAAAAGAGGAGAAGGTCAAATGAGGAGGTCAAAAGAGGAGAAGGTCAAATGAGGAGGTCAAAAGAGGAGAAGCTCAATAACTGGTACCTGGTGCCTCCCCCCACTTATAAAACCAAAGCCGCGCCCCTGGCAGTATGCATGGCAGTATGCATGGCAGTATAGGGCTATCCACTTACCCACAACTCTCCTCTCAGCCCTGCTGTCCAGGGGCCTGTGGCCTGTAGCCCTGTCCTCATCTGTACTGTTGGTCTCCACCATCTCAGTCTCCTAAGATGACGTGCTGCTGCTTACAGGGCTTCTTCCTGGGGGAGGCACCTGGGACCAGGTCCCCTGAGGAGGGGGCAGCGTGGATGGACCCGGCCTGGTGGAGGCTGGCCGAGGGCTGGGACACTGAGGAGGGGGAGGGGGGTTGGAGACATTAGATTAGATATACTTTGTCGGTTGTTCACATAAATATGCTTTATGTACAGACATGTCAGTCACAGTATGTATTAACAGCAGGGCAGGAGGGACATATATTCCATAGTGACTATAACAAGAATAAAATAAGCAAAACAGGTTTTGTGACAAATGTAATTTTGTTATTTCCTTGTTCATATCCCCCATGTTCTCTCTCAGGTGAGGACTGATAGGTGGGTCGTGGTTACCATATTTACCTGGTTGAGACGTCGCTATAGTCTCCGCCTCTTGCTTGAACTTCACCTCTGTGTGGGCGGAGCCTCCACTGCATGCTGCCGTGCTACTGGCTGCGGGCTGGGTGGGGGAGGCGACAGTGTTGGCCATGGAGGCGGAGACAGGAGGGTAGAGCCTCCACTGCAGCCGTAACTTGGGCTGGAAGAGCCACCATGGATACGTGGACCTCTGCTTTAGGCTTCACTCTGAGAGAGAGGAGAGAGAGAGAGAGATAGAGAGAGAGAAGAGAGAGTAGAGAGAGAGAGAGAGAGAGAAGAGAGAGAGAGAGAGAGAGAGAGAGAGAGAGAGAGAGACAGAGAGAGAGAGAGAGAGAAGAGAGAGATGAGAGAGACGCTAGAGAGAGGATAGAGAGACAGAGAGAGAGAGCGAGAGAGCTAAAGCGATAGAGAGAGACAGATATATATAGAGATAATAGAGATAGAGAGCGGAAGACGAAAGAGAGAAGCTCAGATGAAGAGAAGAGACCAGATAGAGATAGATATGAGAGATAAGATATCTCTCTGGCTTTCCCTCCTTCTCTCTCTCCTCTAGCTTTACTTCTCTCTCACTCTTCATCATCTCACTCTGCTCTCTCTTCTAAGATCTATATCTTCTCTCTATAACCTCTATATAAGAGAAATAATATATATCAATATAAATATATCACTTAGATCTAGATCTCTATATCTTACCTCTATATCTATATCGAGCTCTATATATACATATCTTAATATATCTTATCATATATCTACATCTCTACTTCTATCTTTCCTATACTCCTCTCCATATATCTATATATACTATACACTAGTACTCCTATATATATATATACATTACATATAATAATATGATACATATATCATATATAGATAGAATATATATAGCTATAGACGTAGATTTGCCGCCTCTATCCTACATATATACATATATAATATACAAGATCTATATATATTATATTCATATACATTAACATATACTATAATATATATATACTATACATATACTATATGCAGATATCATAGATATACTATATAATATATATAGATCTCTCTCTATCTTAGAGATATGATAATAGACAAGACAGATAGACAGAGAGAGACTACTATCATCTGAGTCAATTCTTCTTTTGCTGACGATCTGGTTGCTTCTGTCACCAACCAAGGAGGGCCTACAGCAGCACCTAGATCTTCTGCACAGATTCTGTCAGACCTGGGCCCTGACAGTAAATCTCAGTAAGACAAAAATAATGGTGTTCCAAAAAAGGTCCAGTTGCCAGGACCACAAATACAAATTCCATCTAGACACCGTTGCCCTAGAGCACACAAAAAACTATACATACCTCGGCCTAAACATCAGCGCCACAGGTAACTTCCACAAAGCTGTGAACGATCTGAGAGACAAGGCAAGAAGGGCCTTCTATGCCATCAAAAGGAACATAAAATTTGACATACCAATTAGGATCTGGCTAAAAATACTTGAATCAGTTATAGAACCCATTGCCCTTTATGGTTCTGAGGTCTGGGGTCCGCTCACCAACCAAGAATTCACAAAATGGGACAAACACCAAATTGAGACTCTGCATGCAGAATTCTGCAAAAACATCCTCCGTGTACAACGTAAAACACCAAATAATGCATGCAGAGCAGAATTAGGCCAATACCCACTAATTATCAAAATCCAGAAAAGAGCCGTTAAATTATATAACCACTTAAAAGGAAGCGATTCCCAAACCTTCCATAACAAAGCCATCACCTACAGAGAGATGAACTTGGAGAAGAGTCCCCTAAGTAAGCTTGTCCTGGGGCTCTGTTCACAAACACAAACAGACCCCACACAGCCCCAGGACAACAACAACAACAACAACAACAACACAATTAGACCCAACCAAATCATGAGAAAACAAAAAGAGAATTACTTGACACATTGGAAAGAACAAACAAAAAAACAGAGCAAACTAGAATGCTATTTGGCCCTAAACAGAGAGTACACAGTGGCAGAATACTTGACCACTGTGACTGACCCAAACTTAAGGAAAGCTTTGACTATGTACAGACTCAGTGAGCATAGCCTTGCTATTGAGAAAGGCCGCCGTAGGCAGACCTGGCTCTCAAGAGAAGACAGGCTATGTGCACACTGCCCACAAAATGAGGTGGAAACTGAGCTGCACTTCCTAACCTCCTGCCAAATGTATGACCATATTAGAGACACATATTTCCCTCAGATTACAGCGATCCACAAAGAATTCGAAAACAAACCCAATTTTGGATAAACTCCCTTATCTACTGGGTGAAAAACCACAGTGTGCCATCACAGCTGCAAGATTTGTGACCTGTTGCCACAAGAAAAGGGCAACCAGTGAAGAACAAACACCATTGTAAATACAACCCATATTTATGTTTATTTATTTTCCCATTTGTACTTTAACTATTTGCACATTGTTACAACACTGTATATATACATAATATGACATTTGAAATGTCTTTATTCTTTTGAAACTTATGAGTGTAATGTTTACTGTTAATATTTATTGTTTATTTCACTTTTGTTTACTATCTACTTCACTTGCTTTGGCAATGTTAACACACGTTTCCCATGCCAATAAAGCCCTTAAATTGAAATTGAATTGAATTGAAATTGAAATTGAAATTGAATTGAGAGAGAGAGAGAGAGAGAGAGAGAGAGAGAGAGAGAGAGAGAGAGAGAGAGAGAGAGAGAGAGAGAGAGAGACAGAGAGAGAGAGAGAGACAGAGACAGAGAGACAGAGAGAGAGAGAGACAGAGAGAGAGAGAGACATCATTCATTTAGCCACTGGTGGCTTTTGTAATTTTATCGCCCTTCCTCTCCTTTTAGCACCCTTCTATAACCCTCTCCTTTTAGCACCCTTCCAACCCTCTCCTTTTAGCACCCTTCCAAACCTCTCCTTTTAGCACCCTTCCAAACCTCTTCTTTTAGCACCCTTCCAACCCTCTCCTTTTAGCACCCTTCCAACCCTCTCATTTTAGCACCCTTCCAACCCTCTCCTTTTATCAGAGGACCTGGGTCCATATCCACAAAGCATCTCGGAGTAGGAGTTCTGATCTAGGATCAGTTTTGCCTTTCAGATCACAATTAATAAGATACACAGTACCAGTCAAAAGTTTGGACACACCTACTCATTCAAGAGTTTTTCTTTATTTTTGCTATTTTTTACATTGTAGAATAATATTGAACACATCAAAACTATGAAATAACACATCTGGAATCATGTAGTAACCAAGAAATGGTTAAACAAATCCAAATATTTTTTAAATTTGAGATTCTGACAGCTTTCCACACTCTTGGCATTCTCTCAACCAGCTTCATGAGGTAGTCACCTGGAATGCATTTAAATTAACAGGTGTGCCTTGTTAAAAGTTAATTTGTGGAATTCCTTTCCTTCTTAATGCGTTTGAGCCAATCAGTTGTGTTGTGACAAGGTAGGGGTGGTATACAGAAGATAGCCCTATTTGGTAAAAGACCAAGTCCATATTATGGCAAGAACAGCTCAAATAAGCAAAGAGAAACGACAGTCCATCATTACTTTAAGACATGAAGGTCAGTCAACATGGAAAACTTCAAGAACTTTGAAAGTTTCTTCAAGTGCAGTCACAAAAACCATCAAGTGCTATGATGAAACTGGCTCTCATGAGGACCGCCACAGGAATGGAAGACCCAGAGTTTCCTCTGATGCAGAGGATAAATTCATTAGAGTTACCAGTCTCAGAAATTGCAGCCCAAATAAATGCTTCAACATCAACTGTTCAGAGGAGACTGTGTGAATAAGGCCTTCATGGTCAAATTGCTGCAAAGAAAGAACTACTAAAGGACACCAATAAGAAGAAGAGACTTGCTTTGGCCAAGAAACACGAGCAATGGACATTAGACCAGTGGAAATCTGTCCTTTGTTTTGGAGTCCAAATGTGAGATTTTTGGTTCCAACCGCTGTGTCTTTGTGAGACACAGTGTGGGTGAATGGATGATCTCCGCATGTGTATTTCCCACCGTGAAGCATGGAGGAGGAGGTGTGATGGTGTGGGGGTGCTTTGCTGGTGACACTGTCTGTGATATATTTAGAATTCAAGGCACACTTAACCAGCATGGCTACCACAGCATTCTGCAGTGATACGCCATCCCATCTGGTTTGGGCTTAGTGGGACTATCATTTGTTTTTCAACAGGACAATGACCCAACACACCTCCAGGCTGTGTAAGGGCTATTTGACCAAGAAGGAGAGTGATGGAGTGCTGGCATCAGATGACCTGGCCTCCACAATCCCCCGAACTCAACCCAATTGAGATGGTTTGGGATGAGTCGGACGGCAGAGTGAAGGAAAAGCAGCCAACAAGTGCTCAGCATATGTGGGAACACCTTCAAGACTGTTGGAAAAGCATTCCAGGTGAAGCTGGTTGAGAGAATGCCAAGAGTGTGCAAAGCTGTCGTCAAGGCAAAAGGGTGTACTACCCTTTAGAACCACAAGAAACCCATTTCAGAGAGCATTATGGGATGTCTGTGCTTAGTCACTCCTGGTCGAGATCAGGTTGGTCCGTTCTCCAGGGTGGTCTGACTGGACATGGGGGGAGGTGTGGGTGATGGGCTGGGGAACCACTTTATCTGTGGTACAACACAGGAGGGGGGGGTCCATTTAGGAAATACACTGACATTTTTCAGAGAGAACCACTGAGAAATATTTGAATTTGAGTTGACTTCCTGAATTGACTGTAGTGAAATGTGATTGGTGTGCCTGGGATGGTGGAGGTGGTCACTGCTGGAGCGTGGGAGGGCATCGTCATGGTGACGACAGTGCTGCTGGTCATCTGGGTGTGTGTTACAGTGCCTCAGAGAGGACAGGGAAAGAATATATTCTTATTTATTATGATCTAAAAGGCAAAACACAAAACTGACCTTATTTCAGCACTTCTACTAGAAGTGAATATGGGTCCTAGAATGGTGGATAGGACAGTGTTGGGTCAACCTGTACTGGTGGATAGGACAGTGTTGGGCCCAACCTGTAGTGGTGGATAGGACAGTGTTGGGCCCAACCTATACTGGTGGATAGGAGTCAGCTAGCTCACCCAAAGCAGACACGTCTCCTC